TATTCCATGTCAAAAATAGAGAAAATGTAAAAATACAGTTGTCTGTGATGCATGTAGAAAAAGTAGCTACTTGAGGTGCTTTATAGGAATCTGTCTTTTATACGACCATGAGTCACTTCTCTTCCTGTGAGGTGGTTTCTTTCACTGGGACTCTCCAGAGGGATTTCCAGAGACAGGCCATGCCTCCTGAACCCCTCAGGCAGCCAAGAGAAAGGACAACAGGAGACTGCACAGTCACAAAGACAGGATCCCTGAAATCTGTGACGACTGCAATCCATGCTGGTGTCTGGCTTTCAAATGTCTCAGAGTTGCATGTCTCCTCATTTAATGGATGTGGTAATTAGAGAACAGAAATAAGCAAATGTAACTGACCAAAAAGCAGCTGAGGATGCACCAGGAGCTCCTGAATACCAACCCCTGCCTCCCTCCCCCTACTTCTATCCACTGTACGTTCATCCTGTACTTTGGCCAGACAAAAAGAGGATTTTACAAATCAGTAAAATTCTTAAGAGTAATTTAAAATCTGAATCATTACAATATGATGTGTTTTAGTCACTTCTATTTCCTGATCTGAGACTTAGCCTTATTGATGATAGGCCTGAATTTCAGAGATGCTTCTACTGACTCCTGGATCTTGCTATCATGAAACTTGATAACAGCCTTGATAACATCCTTGAAAACATCCTAAGCTAAGATGCTGCCATGTGAAGCTTATGGAAGTTTAAAATAAAGGAAGGTGGCTTGATTTATCTCTCACTGACACTATGTCAGGAAATAGTCACTGCCATGCCTTGGCACAGCTTTCCCATTGAAATGGTGGCTCTCTGAAAAGAAGCTGGCACAATACAGGGTTGCAGTCTTCGGACAGACATAAGGACTTAAGACTGCAGTGAACAGTACTGTGTCTCAATAGACACATGCAAATTATTGCAATAAGGTGAATTTTTTGTTCTACTAGAAATACCTGCAGCTTCCACTTCTAGAGAGGCAGGAGCATAGACCTGTGCAAAATGTACTTTTTGTTAAGAAAAAAAGAACTGTTTCCCAGTCCTACAGATTACTACTCATTTCTCCTCTCCATAGCGACTTCCCATGTAGTAGCAGTCCTCACTGTGGTTATCTCTCAGTTTAAAAGTCATCAGACATGGTAAATACATAGTTGCTTTGTTGTGTTGCCAGATGGAAAGTCACCCTTTTGTGAGGGAGATAGTGAAATGTGTCTAGACTGACACAATTCATGTAACCCTGCACTGCCATCAAAGATCATAATTTTGTGCCAAATGATGATGCAGCTGAGGTCTGAACAGTTAGTCTGGTTACGAAGTGTTTTGCCTGCCATGGCACTTTCCTTATTGTCAGATCCTTCCTGGCCAAATATATTCATGCTTATAAATGATTCTCTAAATACATAAACAAAATACAACCCTACACAGACAGAAAAGCTATCAGCTACTGGAAATACAAGGAGAGACTGCAGGAGGACCTCAACAATCAAAGCATTTCTAGTAAGGCCTAAGGAGAGGGAGAAGTTTCAGTCTTGCCAGCTTGGCCATTCTACACAGAATGAAAGAATTTAGCAGAAAAAAAAGGTTAGTTGTATTACCATTATCATCACCCTGCTAAAGCAAGATGGAATTCTTACTGCCTCCTTCCTGCCATCTCTAATGCATTTACCTGCATTAATGCATAACCTGGTATGTGCCTACTAAGTTACAAACTCATACATGTCACACACAGCGCTCCCTCCCCTGCCACAGCAGAGCACAACAAACCAGCCAGAAATATACTGTTTTAAGGTCTCCCTCAGAGACTGCATCATGTGTCTGATTTTGAGGTATTCAACCACGTCCTCTCTCACAAAACTGACCTCTAGAACAATCATCGAGGTGTTAGTGCCAGGCAGTGAGGGAATACATTTTTGCCCTCACAAGAATAAAGTATTCCTGACAACAAGTTTGTTTATGGATGTGTCAAACTCAAGAAGTAAGAGGATTCGTGTCCATTGAAGCAGTCCATCATTCCTTCAAGACAAGGGAGCAGGGAAAACAAAATTGTTAAAAGACTCTGGCAGAAAGTATTTATGCTTGGCTGGAACAGAAAGTGCCTCTGAATTAGTAAGCTTAGCCTGCAATACCAGAAATTTGTTAACCTCGATGGAACTTTCACAACATAGAACTTGCAGACAATTTGCATTTCTGCTTGTTAGTGTAGCAATCATGGAAAAGAAAAGTGACTTCTTTGAGAAGCTGATAAGATGGGCTTTAATGCTGAACACTACTGTATGAAACTCTGAGTTGTACTAGAACAGGTATCTTAGGAAACAATAGATGAAGAATTGCTCCTGCCTTGAATTTCTTCTGATGGGCACTACCAATGAAAATTTGGTATGCTTCAAAGCATGCTGCTGGATTCCAGATTTAGGAAAAAAACACAGCTGCAGAGACAAGACACCCTACCTCTGTGGATGAGAATGTTCTGCTGCTCGGCCATTTGCAGACTATGAACAAAAAAAATTCAAACTATGCCGAAACCCAAACCGTAACTATCTCCTGCTGTTTTATTTGGGCTTCATTCTATTTCAATTAACTGTGAAGAACCTGACAATTTAGCAGTAACAGAAGGACAGAATGGGAAAGCAGCAAAGAGGGGAGCTGCCAGGGCTTTAGTCTCTGTAAAGACAGGATGGGGAGGGGACAGGAAGCAGGGCTGCTGATTGATATCACATGCTCTGACAAACAGAAAGACTCGAAAGCAAATGGATTTTTGCCCCTATCCTCACAGCTGTTGTCCCCTGCACCAGTGTCTACTGCAGGGATAGTGGATGTGTGCACTAACTGTAACCAGCAGTGAAATGCTCCTGAACGTTGGTATTAAAATACTGCCTCTAGACCACAGAGTGCAATATGCACTTGTTTTGTATCTCTCTCCTGTCCCCCCGCAAGCACAGCTACTGGGCAAAACATTTTTTTATTTTGTATTCTGGTCCTACTTCTTTGGCAACTGAGGACAGTACCTAGGGTAGCCAGCAGGATCTCTCCTGGTTCACACACAGTGCCAGGACTTGTTTTCCCATAAAAGCAGGAAAAGCACTGAGGGATTGGAACATGCTAAGTGCAAAGATATCACAGCCACTTCAGACCATCCTGCACTGTTGGAGCACTTGCAGAGGAAAATGCACTTTGATGGTTTTTGGGAACTCCTTTGTGGATCCATGATGGTATAAATTTAATTGTGGTATCTGTGGATTCATTTATCCAGAAGAGCAGTTAAGAACTCCTGGCATTTTTTAGTATAGCTGTGGCTAAACAGGTTGCAGTAAAGCTTTCTCCATGTGCCAGACAGACCTTCAACTGATTTTTACAGAGAAGACTTCAGGGCAAGAAGGACTAAGTGTTCAGCCTGATCTGGCTGGCACACTGATTAGGGAGAAAAATACCCTGTCCACACAGCTTGCAGGAACTGTGCTTGAGCCCCACTGGCAGCCGCAATCACATTTAGTACAGTTGTATTTCCATTACACAGAGAGTCTTCACAATTTATGTACAGTTTAATACGATTATTTTTCTTCCCCATTTCTGCCTGACAAACTGTACTTGCGAGGCCCCTGGCTGGAAATCCATGCTAATCAACTTAAAGCCTAGTAGATAAAGCAAGGTTGTTTACTCTGTGTTGTCAGCAAACCACATTTCATGACTATACTCAAGCCTCTGCTAACTAAGGTCATTGGCATCTTCTTGAAATCCAGGAGCAAATAACAAGCACAGGAAAAAGCTGCAGCTTGAGTGAAGACAGAAAATGCTAGTTGAGCTGCTCACACCAGGGCTGCAGAGTGGGGGGCAAAAGGGAGGCCAATAGCTCTATGCAATATTTATGCAAATTACTTTGCTGATGGGTTTTATCTGCCCACACAAAAATGACAGTTTTGATTACTTTAACCACGGAATTTTGTTTCCTGCATCATGCAAACTAAGTACTCAGGAACTGCCAGACTACAAAGCAAATGGCATGAGATGTATTGATTCTGCAGTGGTAACGATCTTACATTTTTACATAATGCCTTTCAGGCTTAAGTGTCCCTAGGCACACTACAGGTGCCACCTATGAAAAAAGCACCTCAGGACTGAAACACCACAGTTGCCTGGAGGGACATTCCACCATTAAAGGAGGTGCAAACACCAGAAAAGTTAAATCCACTCTTCCCAGCCAAAATTCTTGATAGCATTTTGGACAGGTTCTAGGTACAAGAACCAGATTAGATATTAGACAGCCATTTCTTGGAAAAGGTGGAACAATTACTGAAACAACTATTGAAACAGTGAATATCTTTGTCATGAAATTTACCATGTAGCTGATGCAGCAAAAACTGCCGCACAAACAAGTATCTAGCTAATGTATAACTGCACTGAAAGCTTAGGCTCAAAACCTGGCTGTTGATAAAAGCAGTTTGTCAAGTCATCAATTTTCTCTCCCGTTGGAAAGATAATGCTTCACACAATGTCATTTGTAGTTGAACTGTGGCTCCACTTACATACTCAGGAGGCAAATGGAGCATCTCAGTCATTACAATGACTGGAGTTCCCACTCCCTTAACTCCCACCCAAGCTGTAACCTGCAACCAACCTTCTTAACCAAGTATCACACTTCAAATCCTGTCTTCACTAAAGGTTTTCTGCATGTACACAAGAAAGTAATGTTTTGTGTCTCATAGTCGTGCCTGAATACAGTCATTATTGCCACTTTGAAGGTTTGTTTTATTTCTAAAATTCAACTGAATTTGAGAGATCCTCAAGGAGAATGACACAAAGCACCATATGAAGAATCTCATCAGTTAAAGAAAAGCAGCGAAAGAGAGATGGGGAACATTAGAACTTTGATCGTTTTCCTTCTCATGGCACAAATCTATGATCACTCTTAAAATCATGTAAGAATGAAGGCTCAGAACTAAACTTCTCTCTGGACCTACACAACAAGACATGTCCCTGTTGAAGGAAGCTGCTTACCGCCTGAGTGCATTTGTCAGTTCAGCAGTCAGTTCGCTCTCGTTGTATGGTCTCAGCTCAGCCAGTGTTAACGGTGTTGTGGTGCCATCACTGCATTCCTGAGAAATAAGGAAAGGCCATCTAATTAGAAGTTACTTACCACCTTCATGGGAAAATTCTGAAAAACTCTTAGTTCGCAGCTGCTTTTAAAATTCAGGTGAAATAAACAAGTTACAGCGACATGGCAGTGTATCAACATACCAAGAACCGGACTTAAAAAGGATTAATACTTCAGAAATCCTTCTAAATGTTTCCTAAACCACCAGAGCTCACCATTTTGCAGAATTCTGCTATAGTGTACAAAACTCTTGTGCCTTCCTTATATTTCTTTTGACACTCACTTGAAACAAAGAAGCACTGAATCAAAAAATTCAGATGATGCATTGCCAGAAACAAATAAGAAAGACAAAGTTATACACTAGTTCTGGATTTTGTTTTTAAACACATTACTGAGGTTTTCTGGGGACACAATACAAAAATAAGAGGACTAAAATTTTTCTAGGTATCTATTTCTTAATGCAAATTATTACTGTAAATGCAAAGATCTGTTTATTCTGCATTACACTAAGAGGAGAAAAGTCTTCATTCTCAAATTATTACAATCTGACTTGGAGAAAGAAACTATCATTACAATGCTCTAAGTGCTTCATAGAAATAAGTCCTATTTTTTTCATATTTTGTGTTTGCGGAGGATGGCATTTTACTTAGACTTCCTTCCAGTGTTTCCAGTGAGCAACTTGCAAGTTTGTAAGTTTGGCAAGAATGGCCCTGTGAAAGTTGTCAAAACAATGTTATTTTAGGCCAGTCTTAACAGCATTCTGCAAAGTCCTTATAAGTCATAGCATGGAAGGAACCACCTAACAACTGGAGAAGAGAGAAAAGATCTGCCTATAGACAAAGAGGAAAATTATTAATATGCTGTAGACTGCTATAGGGAGGGAAGAGGTACAATTAACCATGTTTATGATTTTGGAAACTTAGCTTGACTCCTGACCTTGCCCAACTTGTCTTTGCTTCCACTGCTGGTTGAACTGAGAGACCTCATTCTCTGCTCTTTTTGTTCTTCCACTTCAGACTTCAAATGCTCAATATGGACGAGGTAGGCCTGCTCCTGGGCCTCTCGAGTGCTCAGTTTCAATTCCAATGCCTTCTTCTCCTTCTCTAGCAGGTAAAGCCGTGCCTTGAGCTCTGCCATCTCCTCCTGTGGAAGAAATATTATCAGCATGCTGCTTTGTGGCACTACATACCTAAAAGATAATGAAGTTAAACAAGATTTTCATCCATTTCTATAACGTGAGTGTTATTTGCATCCACTCCCACAACCTTTTCATGGAGAACACTCTCAGCATCCAGAAGGCTTTTCATAATCATATAGCACATTTGTCAAAAGACCAGCATATCTTGAAAGTGATGAGCCATGCTATTATCCCTTTATCAGCCTCAGAAACAAGCTCAGAGGCAACCGAGCAGCTAATGTGATGCTGAAACTAGACTATGAGGTATCTGAGTTGCCACAGCTGCTGAAATTTCCTTGGTTCTACTTTGCCCTTCAGAGACCATTGTCTAAAAACAGGGGTGTATGACTTCCTTGCTGTTTGACCTCCCTACATGCCAGATTTCAATTTCTTATTGATGCATAAGAATTAGAGTTGGTTTATCTCATTACAGTGGAAGGAGTTTGAGGGACAAGGACAGCACACATGTCACATATTCCTGCTTGTAATACCAGCCTCTGTGATAGAGTAAGTTAGTCAAAAAGGGCAACTGGGTATGGCACCATTGGGTGTCTATTTTTCATCTCCCTACTCTAGATGGACAAAATCCCAACTATATACAACTGGAGTTTGACAAAATTGCACTCACATTCCTCCATAAATATGATCTACAGAAGATGGACACTGGTACTTCATAGAAAGAAGCTCAATTCTGAGAGCTCATTCTTGTGTGCAGTTCTGTGGCCTCTCTGATGTTCATGACAGAGCTGTCACCTATTGTAATACAATGACTGCTATTTGGGGACAGACCTCTATTTTAACATCTGCTCTTACAGTAGCTGGGCAGAAGTGTAAGAGCAGGGCATGAGTGCAATGACCCTTCTTACAGTGCTTGCCCTCAGCCTCCCATGAAAAGCAACTGATGGGTATCCTGAACCAGAAGGCTCTTTGTGTTTACTAGCACTTCAGAAAAGTTTCTTCTACAAAATGTCTAATTATTTTATGAACCCAGACAAACCCAGCATCCATCAAACATTTTAAAGCAACAGTACTAAAACATAACGTACATTATGTGCTAAAATCCATCATCAAACAAACAAAGGACTGCCAAAACAAAAAACCCCAACCTAGAATCATGTTCATACTATTAAGCTTGCCGTGTCCTAGGTCACCTCATGAGTCAATACTGAGTTCATGGAGACATTTTCAGTTCTAGACTTGTTCACTGTGTAAACACCTCTGAAAGACAGAAGTTTCTTGTCATGTGGCCAGTCTAGGGACAAGTCACTACTCTTCATTTATTTATTTAAAAAGTATTCTAAGCACAAAAATATCAGAAGTATCTTACCTTTTCCTTCAAAAATAATGCTCTTTGTGTTATAGCCAAATAATTAAGCCACAAATCTTGACACATATTTAGACTAACTTTTTACATAGAAGAGAATCTACATTGCAGCCAAAAATTTGCTGTCTGGATTAAGGGTAAGCAATGCATACAGGTGTATCACAGTTACAACCATCACAGGTAATCACTGGCTTCTCCTGAATAACCAACCATGCAAAAGTAAAACCCATGTCTTAAAAACCCTCAGACTTGGAAAGGTTTGTAAAAGCTTTAAAGTAATTGATTTATGCATCAGCCTGTTTGTGAACTGAAAGTTACAAGCACAACCAGTTTCATTCAATGTGGTTTCCACAAATTTACTTGTTAGGCAAACTTATCATTAATTTCCTTTGTCAACAGTAAAAATGCAAATAATACCAATAAATAATGATGGGGAAATTTAGTTATAGGAGTTGAATATACTTAAGTGTACGCATTTAACTTCTTCAGCCTCTCTTCCTCTTTCTAAAGCCCACTTAGCCTGCTTAGTGAAAAGCTGAGAACAGAGTATTTTGGCACTTACATGAATAAAAGAGGCTCCTGACAAAGGGCTATCAACTTAAGATAGTCATGACAAGTTCTTCCCTGGCTGGAACTTGAAGCTAGGCAAATTCAGTCTAGAATGACGGGGATTTATTTCCTAAAATAAAAATGTGAATTTAACCACTACAACTATGACTCTGCAGAACTGATTTTTCTCATAAATTTAAAAATTTAAGTTATTAATTTTAATTTAACTCCGCTTGTTTTAATTTTAACACATCCAAGCTCAAAATAAATTTGAGAATCAATGGTTAACTCCTTTGTTTATGAAGACAGTAAGCTTAGATCGTCACATATGAATTCACCAGTTTGCATCTTGTCCCAGAAGACATATGATGCACCTCCCATATGTGAGTTTTCTCATGTCAAAACAATGTGACTTGGAATGAAGAAGCAAAGACAAAGCAGGGGGAAAGAGGAAGAACTGTTAGCCAATGTCTTACAGAGGCTTCCAGGGAAGGAACAGGAAGGAATGTGAAGGTTGAAGGTAAAAATTAAAAGTACAGTTGAGGATTTTGGTATGGGCACATACAACCTGAGGCAGGGTGGCAACAGTCACAGTTCATGGGTGAAAATTTAAGTAGTTCAGGTTTACTTAGACAGTTATTCTTCTCATAAGCAGCAATTTTTTCCCATGAAAATAAGTTTTCTGAAGGCAGCATCTAAATTTAATTTCAGTGACAACACCCCCTTTGTATATTTACTACATTCCTTTTCTTCTAATCACAGGATGCTGTGAAACATTTTGCAGTTTGACATATCCAACTTGTCAGAGTGTGTGCCTAAAGCACAAGTAGCATTTATAAAATCAAACCCTGAAGATGGAGGCAGCAAGTGGTCACACTTCCAGCTGATTGCATTAGACTTAGACAATCCATGCAAATTCACAAACTTCAAGCATCAAACCTAGCAGTTATTTTAGGACTAATTAATTGAACACTAAGGAATATTTTGTATTTGCAGTCATGTTGTAATTATGAATTTGGGCAAAAACTTGAGTGAAAATTAAAAAATCTTGACTCAATATAATCAGAAACAGCACAGCACTCTCAAAATCAAAGTTTGTATTGGATGTGGTCATGCTAGAAGAATAAAACAGCAAGGACTCCTTTGTGGCAAAAAGTTCTAAGATTCACAAAAAGTCATGACTCGAGGAGGATCACAGTACCCATGGTGGGATATACCAGCCTTAGAAGTAAAACAAACATCAGGGCAGACAAATATCATGCTCTAGTTAACTGTATCTTACTATTTAAATCTGTAAGAGCACAAAATGCTATAATAAAGGTGGACAGCTGGACTCTTGACATTTTCCACAAAGAGACAGTAGCCTCAAAGCACATTATGAGCAACATTATCACCACCTGCACACAAAAAAGGAAAAATTTTCAGTGTAGAAAGCTGAGACTTCTTATCCTTTGAAATGCAGAAATGCTGTAAACCAAGAATTATTTACACTCATCAGAAGTACTCTCCTTGCTAACTGGGGCATGACAACAACTGACCTCAAAGCAAGACTGCTGAATGATGACAAACCACATACGAAAATATATTTGGAAACATGGTTAATTATTGCCTGAAGCAAAGAATTGGATTTTACAGAAGTACTAGCAGACCACTACATCTTACAGTCTGGATCAGTGAAAAAATAATAAACAGGCCAACAGAGAAACCACCCTCAAACAATCATTTTAATCAATAATGAACTACTGGTGTAAAGGCATTTTCAGACTGATGTGGTGATCAGTTTTTACTGAGAGTCATAAATGGAAGGTGCCAAAAGATGCAGCAGAGATTCCAATACAGATCCAAGTTTCAGGAAGACAGCAGCAGACTGTAAGACCATCAATACAGGAAACCATTGAATAGTTCAGTCCAGCTGTATCATCCTTGCTAAGAATGTGGAAGGGAGGTAACAAAAGCTGCTCCACAATGAAGTCCTATGCAGCACAGATGACTCCATCTGCTTCAAGTTAAATAAAATACTGTAAGGAAATTTAAATTCTCCATTTGTCTCAGAATGAGGCAGGTGTATATGCTATTATGTATGAAGTACATGTTTCAAATAATAGATACAAAAAATACACTCAGAAAGCCAATACATCTACAAGAACTGACCTTAGATTCAACTATGTTATAGTTTATTAAACATATGAGTGAGGTGTAAAGCAGACCTGAGTAACAACCATGGATGCTTTTAAGGTAACACATTCTCTTGGGACCAAAGCATACAGAGTGTTGCTGTGCCTTTTGTAATGCTTCATGCATAGAAGAAAGGTGGGAGTTTTCAATTTCTCAGCAGAAGGTCACATACCAACAAATCCATTCCAAGCTTTGGCAAACTTGTGTTTACACTACATCTCTTTCAGAAACCTAAGGATTTCCTGTAGTTGTGAATTCCAGCAAAGTACAAGAATTTATAATGAATATCAGTACTATCAGTTTCTCTGTATTGGAAAGGACTGACTGAAGGTCCATCTGACTGACTTCATCCATCTATGTAAAATGTGTATCTGTTCTGTATGCACTGCACACAACACAAAAAGAAAGATTTCTTTTTCTAGGGACAACTCCTGCAGTGAAAATCCAATGTGCTAGGTCCAGCCAGAAGTGACGAATGGATGCCATATGTCAAAAAGAAGTTAGATGATTGTTGAGTGAACAAAAGGATTACTAGCACTCAAAACTGCTCCAGAGATGGTGGCATGCAACTGCTGGTGTTTCTGCCAGTCAGGGAATGCAAGGGCACTAATCACAAGGGATAACTCTGCAGTTTGCCTATACCAACCGATTTAAAGATCGAAGTAAGAACAGTGTACAACAGATTTCACAGAAGATCTGGACTCAAAAGAGGAGAAGAAAGTGTGATATCTGAAACAGACATCTATTTATCTACCAATGTCTTCCAGTATATCTTAAATGCCTTAGTTATGGGGAGTATATTGCTGTTGGCTGCAATATATTCAAACAAGTAACATAACTTGAAATCATCTGACTGGTAGCAACCAGTATTTTTTTTCCTCAACTGCCAATAATGAACGCATTATTGCAAAATTATGTTTGTAATCATGGAAGGGCAACACCATTAAGAACATAATTATCATTACTAAGCTACCAGTCACCCAGCAGTAACACATGTGAACAAACATCTATAGTTTTAGAAGCTTATGCAACTATCAGGATTTGCTGTCCCACATGGTATCATCATCTGACATGTCTGCTATTAGTTGACTAAAGTAGTACTTCCTAAATGCAGAAATTAAACTTATTTCAACTGAATCAAAACCAGACAAATTCTAAATGCAGGCATACATTTGTATTGCCTTTAATTGCCTTAATTGCCTCTAAGTCAAAGTCTATTCTCAAAGTCAACACAGAAGACAGACTTACAATGATAGAAGTCCTATACCTTGTCAATAAAGGTCAGTTTTTCTAAATCACATCTTGAGAACTGAATGCATAAACCAGAGTTTTCTCCAAAACCCTCTGTTACTGCAAGCCATTACAGACCTCACTCTTTGCTTGGACTCTGAACTGAGCTACAGATTGCAACACAATGCCTGGAACAGCTCAAGACTTGTGGGTGATCGCTGAGAGCATTAGAGATGACACCTTCTAACAGACCATTCTTCCTCCCACAGCAATATTAAAAGGAGGTGAATTTTTTCTGCTTCAGTTCACAAATATTCATGATGCATATTTGGAATTTTGTAAGTAAAGTAATGAATTCTCTCTTGGGAAGCACTGTATCATGCTCTTGGTCATCCTCAAGCAACTCAGCTGCCATATCTCTTAGAGAAAGCATCTGGTTTGTCAAGGAGAACATTCCAAGTTTAGAGCCACAGATGAAGTCCTTGCCTAATCCAAAACACACACAGATTATTGCTGTTAAACACACTGCCTTCTGACACTTTCTGACTACTAGATTTTCAGTACAGATTATGTGCTTCAACAAAGTTACCTTTAATACCCAGTGATCACTACCAAAGCCTCCCACGTGTGTGACTGAGCATGTTCTGTAGCACAGGAGCATTGTCAGTAGTGCAGTTAGCCTCTTGGTGACAAATAAAGTACCTTCATTGCCATGAGTTCCTGCATCAAGACTGCATTTTCCAGGTCTAGCCTCTGGCTGTCTCCACGTGGCTTAACGTCATAACTAAGGGGATCAATGTGGATGCTTTCCAGCTCCAGCATTGTCAGTTTCACTGCTGCCCTGTCATTTTTCAACTGCTGGATATAATCCTTCAGCCGCTGCTCATCCTCCTTTGTAAATTCTGTATCACAACTGCTTGCAGTTGAGCTGGTAGTACTGGAATGAGAAAGAACAATATTTTAAAAATTACCTTCAGAACAAAATCTCAATTTTTACATCAAACACTCTCCCAATACTTAATCAACACATCTAAGTCTTACTTAAAAGTTCACAGAAAGGACACACATAGCACAGACTGGACATTCCAATGTTCAGAAGATTCAGACGAGTGTGACAAATTCAGAAAAGAAATTAATTCTCTAAGCTGCATGAGAAAAGTGAATCATGTGACAACTTCTCCGCAGAGCCAGATATTTAGTGACGTGTAACTGAATTACTTTTTCTCAAATGGTGTCTTCTGAAAAGTGTCCTTTTTTTTTTAATTAAAGAAAAAAGCTACTTCAGATTTCTTAGCAATAACCCAGCACAGCAAGCTTCTCTCTGCTGCTCAGACACCGAGTCTTGATCTTTTTTGGGAAGAAGCATCTGCTACGAAAAAAGCATCAGCCCAGACCTGAATTATCTCTGCTGATGGCCGTACCAGTTATCATCTCAGATATTTTAGTGGATACTTTTAGGAATCAACCTGAGCAAAATTCCACGGGCAGATGCCAGGAGACAGCATCTTTAGCATGTTGAGGTGTATTCCTTAGTATATTGACTGGAGGGATTTAAAACTAACCCACAGGTTAACAGAAATTTTAATAAACCCCCATAATAAAAGACTTGGTGTATCATCTCCTATCTACAGGCACCAAACAAATGATGGCCCCACAAATGTTTACACAGAGATCACAGGAAGGGAGAATAATGTCTTAGAGCAATTGTGGCTCAGTGCTGCCTATCCACCCACATGCATGCCAGTGCTGCAGGGGGCCGAGACTGATACAGCTGTAGCATTCCAGGGCTGAATATAGTTGCAATAACACTAAAAGGAAAATAAAATGCCATGTTGTTTCTATAACCTCACTCAAAGCTGCCTGCTGTCTCCTGAGGTCCTGTAATCAGCTGCCGGGTGAGGGATAAGTCATCCATTAACTATGCCTGTCTGGAATGCTAGATGATCTCAGTTATCAGCAGGGGAATAAATCACTTTCTGTATCAAATTGCACTGCTGTTCAACATTTTTGTACTAAGAAAAAAAAAGTCCCACTCGCTACATGCTGTGAGAGCCAGGATGATTCCTAAAATATTGTGCATGTGAAAAAGGGGGATCCTATCAAGATAGGCTTAATTTTTCTCTTTTGTTTGGTTCTACTTCAGCTAAAGCTACATCGACTTAGAAGTGCTTCAAATAATTGCCAATCTTCCCACAAATTCCAAGCACAGCCTTGGAGAGGATGGGAGAATTGGCAGGTCTACAAAGATTTCACAAAATCCTTCCACCTCATCAAATATCACATTACAGCTCTTTGCTACAGTTCTCTGTCAATTTCACATTATTCCTTCCTTTTCTGCAGTACAAGAGGTGCTTGGCATATTTGCAACTCGTGTAAACTGGTCTTTGCTTTTGTTTTCATCCATTTCCATCTGCAGTGAAGCTAAAAGCACCCAGTACCTACATTGCATAGAAATCCTCTCAGGCTGAAACAAATTTTTGTTCATACTGTTTCTTCATTAAAAAATCTCTGAACACTTAATAAATGTTGCTGTACTAAGCCTAAAGATATCTTGCTGAAGTAGATATTAATATAAAAATAATGAGGACAAACAAAGTGAAAAATACTTAATTCTGTAGTGAAGTCATGTTGCAAGCTTTGTCAGCACCCAAAGACAGCAGTTGCACAGCTTTTCTGGATTAAATGTAAAACAGCTGTTCCTGGAGGAAGGACAGCTTTTATAGTCTACACAGGCTTCAAATCTTGGGGCACAAAGACCTCATCTCAGCTTACACTTGCAAAGGAAAGAAAATCTAGTTCTCCTGTTGCAAATGAAACCTGAGCAAAAAAAATGCTCCAAATCTATTGTTATGTTGAGCCGGACCTCGTACTCACTGTATATTCACAGATTTTGGTCCTTAAAGATCTAGGGCTATGCACATATATTTTAGGGGACTGCAGTCCAAACTGTGGAAGGCAATCTGGGCTGTTGCCACTGATACTCACTTAGGCTGCTTTTACTTCAGTCCTGGCTGCCTGCCTGCAGCTCCACTGGTGAATTGCTAGCAGGCTGCTCTTCTTCTATTTTTTTTTCCTTTTTTTTTTTTTTTTTTTTTTTTTTAAGAAGTCGAGGGGTGCTTAGTGAGGAGCCTGTCTCAGCCAGCACACAAAGGGACAAGAACCTTCCTTTTCCCCCCACATTTAGCAGTAAGTCAAACTGGAAGCAGCTGAGGTACAAAGCCTACTTTGGGCTATTGTAAAAATGAGGCTGCATCATGAGGTACAGAAATAAAAGTGCAGTGTTTCTGATCTCCCCCAAAAGCCCTGCCATGTAGCTCTCCACAGCCACAATGACAGCCCACTGCTGCACTGTTTAAAGCTGGTGAGCATATGATCCTGAATTTCAGCTATTGTCCTCCCTTCTGACAGCAACCAGGACAAAGGAAAACATATATATAAAGTAATGCATCTATCAAAAAACTACAGCAGACAGTTGCAAAAGATGTGCAGTTTCTCATTTCTCAAGTGTGTAGGTAAGGACAAAGGATCACAATTTCATTGCAGCTGGAGGGAATACAACATCAATCTGCTCATTCTTACTACTGTAGTATTTAGAACAAGCCATGAGAAATGTTCTTCACACTTGCTTCATCCCTTGAGTCTTTTACAATGATGTCATGCCTGGATGATGTCAAATGAATTTTCATATGCAATTTGTGGAAAATATGTGGGTTGGTATAGCATAATGTACAGTCTTACTTGCTGGCATGCATGTGTGTGTATAAAATGTAGTGGATGGATATAAATGAGGCTTTCAACGGTGCCTCTGTGTGAGTAATTTCTGAACACTACCAAAATGTGTGCATAAAACCCTATATAAGCATCAGTTTATGTGCTAAAAATCAAGTCAATAAATAAATCTGCAATTCAGCAATGGTGTGGATAAATAGAAAAGTTGATAGAACTAAGACATCGCAGTCAGAACCAAATCCACAAAATTGCCTGAATGACTGCACACAGCCTAAGACTTAAAAGAATACACTTGATACACAGTATACATGGGCCAACCACATTCTAGCTGAATGTTGTGGATTGAGATCTGAAAGAGCAGTGTCAGAAGATAGTTAACTTCCTGAGAAACTGTATATACTCCAACCAGGCAAAAGACAAAAACCAGTCTATTTGGCTAAAATCAGAGCCTTTGATAAACTACCCTGGTTCCTTCTAAGACTACTTGAGTCCAGCAATGGGGTATTACATAGATAACACTGAGACATCTGCTTGGATATTTCTAAATAACTTATTTGCACACTTCAGCCAAGATAATCTTGTCTGTCAGTGACTTCTCTGAAATCTGAAATGATTCTGATGAGAGATATATTCCTACAGTTGACTGAGTTCAGATATTTTTGTTACACTGCATAATACTGAAAAGAATCCCCTTTGCAGATCTCTCCTGCCATGAATCCAGAAGCAAGACTGGGCTTACTAGCATTGCAGGGAATAAAATCCTCCATTTTCAGTCAGTGTTCCAACTGGACTCATTTTATTCTGCATCCTTCTAAAGGTGCAATCAGTCAAACTTTGTTGGCAATATATGCTCTATAGCTAGCTTCTGTCCATTTAAAATAATTTTGACTTCCAACTACACTGCAGACTGATTTCTGTTTTCAAAAACTGAATTGGTAACATTATTGTGGTGCTGCTGCCAGCCAAATGAATTTAGATGCTCTTAATTGCATTTCATTTATTTTCATTTCAGTTGCTCCCTTTTACAGTCTTTAACAACTTGTCACTAGTGGAACGCCAAGCATTTATTCTCAGTAACGTGTTCACTGGTTTGACATTCAGAATCTCATTTGAAATTTCAAAGCTCAAGATGGGTCAACAATTCCATTGTAAATCTATATTCTACAAGATTTGAAACAGCAGGGAGAATTACTCATTTGTCACAAGTCTCAGCAAAGGATAGTTTTCATCACTCCACTACTTATTCATTCAGCTGGTTTCAAAAGGAAAAGGTAGCAATATATACCTGCAACCAAAAGCCTGCAACACTGTAACAGCCATAGCAAAAAAAAATCAGTTTTCCAGATATGAAATATGTTTGAATCACATATTGTAAAAATATTTTCATTTCAGTGCAGTGGCCCCCAAATGGTGGTTCACACAGCATTCACTAGTGATGTGGGCTTGCTCTGCTTCCCAGTTTTATCGACTGCCAAGTTCACAGAATCATAGAATATCCTGAGCTGGAAGGGACAAACAAGGATCATCAAAGTCCAACTCCTGGCCCTGCACAGGATAGCCCTGCGAAATCACAACATGTGCCTGAGAGTGTTGTCAAATACCCCTTGAACTCTGTCAGATTTGGTGCTATGACCACTTCCCTGGGGAGCCTGTTCCATTGCCCGACCACTCTCTGAATGAAAAACCTGAGTGAAGTTCTTGAAGACAAATAAAAAACCATTAAGCCTGCACGATCAGCTAGAAATCCAATTTGCTTTGCTATGTCTGCTAAGATACCACTGTAATAAAAAACTCCAAGAACAAAGAACCATAGGGTTCTGAAGGTCTGTGGCAATGGGATTTCTGTCTAGAACAGTAGGAAACCAAGTGACAAGGGAGCACACATGAATGGATTGAGACAGCTGGCAACCCAGGCAGGATAACTCCAAAAAAAGCAGGAGCAGGGGCCTGGAGAGAAACAAAAAGGATACAGAATGATAAGGGGAGGAGAGTTAATGACAAAATCTTCAATTTTTTAAACCTGAGACAGTATTTACCAATAGAGATATTGACAGACTGAATCAATGGGCTGAGGCTAAGTGTATGAGCAAGGGCAAATGCCATGTCCTGTCTTTGGGTCACTACAACCCTATGCAGTGCTACAGGCTGCAGGAAGAGTGGCTGGAAAGCTGCTCAGCAGAAATGACCTGGGTGCTGGTCAACAGCAGCTACACATAAGCCAGCAGAGGGCTCCGGGGGGCCAGCAGAACGTGGCCAAGAAGACCAAGAGCATCTTGGCTTGCATCAGCAATAGTGTGGCCATCAGGCCCAGGGAAGTAATAGTCCCCCTGTACTTGGCACTGGTGAGGTCGTATCTCGAGTACTGTGTCCAGCTCCGAGCTCTTCACTACAACAAAGCCATTGAGGTGTTGGAGCATGTCCAGAGAAGGGCAACCAAGCTGATGAAGGGTCTGGAGCACAAGCCTAATGAGGAGCAGCTGAGGGAGCTGGGGGGTTTAGGCTGGAGAAGGGAAGGTTCAGGGAAGGCCTCAACTGCTCTCTACAACTACTTGAAAGGATGTTGTAGTGAGGTGGGGGTCAGTCCTTTCTGCCATGTCCCAGGTGAAAGGATGAGATGAAATGGCCTTGAATTGTACCAGGGGAGGTTCCAATTAGATACTAGAAAAAAAAATTCACTGACAGAATGGTTAGGCATTGGAATAAGTTGCCCAGAGATGTGATGGAGTCATCATCTCTGGAAGTGTTCAAGAGGCACCTGGATGTGGCACTGGCAGATATAATTTAGGGGTGATAATGATGGTGCTGGGTTGACAGTTGAACAAAATGATCTTGAAGGCCTCTTCCCCACTTGATGACTAGGTGATTTGGTGATGGAAATATTGAAAAGTGTGTGCCTTTTGAATCAACACAGATTTTCCATCAATGGGCTGGCACAATGTCATGTGTCTATAAGCGGGTGCTTCTCTTTTGAGACAAGGTTCACAGAAAGGAAAAGTCTGAAAACACTTTCTAACCATGTATCGCCTGAACACAACAGAGGGATTTGTATTTGTTGAAGAAGCTGAAGTTTCAGAAATATTTTCACCGATATGTATGTTTAGGCAAAGATAAATTACACTGGGCATGGAGAGAGGGACAACAATGTGCAAGTGACAATCAGATCAGGGTGCCTATATGAGAAATTCCTGACTTGCTGCTTGCCTTTGGGTAAGTGACAGAAGCTTCTCTCTCTCATGTTCCACATATATCAAACCAGTTAAGAAGTTATCTTAGTCAGTACAGTGTCTTACTTCATGCCAGAAAAAAAATATCCTACAATGATAGTGACTCAAGCTAAAATGTCTCTCTTGCACACACGAACATTTGCATTTTTACATTTCATGACATAGTTTACACTGATGAAATTTGAAATCTCATGCCAATTTAATCATACTCTGCTGAAACCTTATCTACTCAGCCAACTCATTACATGTACACATACAAACAGTGCCAGCTGGCCACCAAATGTTCATGGTAAACAATGAGCACATACACAAACACAGATACCTCTCTCCCTTACCCTTCCCCTCAAAAAACCAAGAATTATGTTAAAGCAAGCAAGGACTGTAGAGACTACATTCCCACCAAATGCTTTCAGTGAAAGGTTAGGTGAGCAAACACTAGAACAGGAGCAACCCTCCCTCCTCCCAGCCTCAATTCTCACCTGTCAGTACTGGAAACTCTCTAAAATTGTTTTAAAAAGAAAAAAAATTATTATGCCTTGGCTACACACCAGATGTCTCACAAGGAACAAAAACACTGAGGTACTTATGAACAACTGAAAATGACCCTTTCAAATAACAGAATGGAAAACAAGCTCAGCCTAGGTACAGATGTTACTACATGTAGCCACATACAACATGTTCAGAGACAGGTGTAGATATGACATAAGTGCACACAAACTACCCCAAGTCAAGTACTTGAAACAGTTTTGTGTATGTTCTTTTCGAGGCCATAAAATGCTTTTGGTACAATGTGTAATCAGTGCGTTACTAGCACAGGTGCTGCCACAATAATTTCTATATAAAGCTTTCTTGGACTGAAAATGCACCATAAAACCTCTTTGATTAAAACATTAAAATTTACCTCACATTAGGACCCCGTTCCCTCAGATTACCTTTTGCTCACTTTTTAGCTATTCTACACCAGTCATATGACAGGGAATAAGATTCTTTGGAGGAGGCATCAGCAAGAAGAGGAAATGATATAGTACTAAAATAAACTTCTGAAGTGTCATAAAAAATGACAGCATTTGAATAAAAAACTGGCTCAAAAACTGAATTAAAATCAAGTTTTGGAGTGAATCTGTGAAACCAAAATAACTTTCAAAAGAAGAATGTTCATCTACATTTATCCAGGATGCTTGCCAAACTTGTATCCATACACAATCACACATATTCACTGCACAGAGTACAATTACACCACAGGCAGGCAAAAACTCAAATTCAAGTTGCTGGCAGATATATTTGAACCGGAACACTTCTGCAATAATAGCTCATCTAAGTCTCATTATTTTACAGATCTTCAGAAAAACTGCAACATTCAGTCTTTCTTGGAAGTACTCACTCTCTCTGTTCCACTCCACCTATGAAAAGAACAGCATAGGAAGGAAGAATCTGGAGACAGGGGCAAAGGGTAATGAGAAGGGAGAGGGAATGGTTTAAAACAAAATGATTGGATTTGCAACATTTATAAAAGAGTTCTTGAGCACTCCAAAATGCCAGTGTAAACATAATTCTGATCTCTGGTTCTCTATACATCCATGCTGTCTGCATATAATAGATATGAATATCAAGTACATGAATTGAATTTGAATAAAACAGCAAGAAAGTCACTGAAGTAAAACAAACATAATGGTTCTGCCCTTTATGAGAAAGATCAAAGTTCAGAGTCACCCATTTGCAACGAATTTATACAAAACCTTTCTTGGCTGGAATTGCTCAAAGCCTAAAGACAATTAGACCACTGAGGCATGGCGACTTATAAATCAAAGCAAAGAAGCCAGAGGACTGAGGTGAGGGAGGTAGTTCAGCAAATACAGTACAAGTGAACTTTTGGTCTGAAATCAAACACTTGGGCATCAGGAGAGCAGAAGAGTTGCAGTTACCTTGTGTGGCTGTTGGATGACAGGCTTTCCCAGGGCTGCACGCTACAGCCAGTGACTGCATAGGCTCCCCCGCAGCTCCCGTCCAGTTTCATCAGCAAAGCTTTTGCTGCGTTCTCAGCTGTCTTCCTGCAGTCATGAGCTCTCTTAAGCATCTGTGTGATGTTTTCATCACCTGTCTGGTCCCCTAGTTTTCAAGCAAACAATCTGTTTCAGAGCTTTGAAGAAGGTGATGGAAATTAAGGCAAGACTAGAGAACCTCCTAGGCACTGTCAGTTTATACCAAGACAGTGACAATAAATTACCAATTTGCCAGTATTAAAAGCAATTTCACTTCTGTGTGAGCATCAGTGGTAACTGGGCTACTGGCCTGAATGCACCTGTTCCAGTCACAAGATCCAGGAATTTGTTGCTCCAGGTAATTATGTCATGTATTATTTTAGCTAGCTTGTCTGTTTGTAAGGGTGCCTGTTGCGCATGAAAATTAGGTTCAGATGATCAAATTATTGACAAACTGGAAAAGCCTCATCCTAAATTACAACTCTTATTCCACTCAGTCCAGTGCTGTTTCACAGTGTGGTCATTTCCAAAGCTTCTTCTCACAAGCACCTTGATCTCAAGCCTAATAGTTTGCCAGAACACCTTCTTACAGGTTACCTTGTCAGCTGGAAGAATTGCCTTACTGCTTAGAAGCAGCCTTTCAGGGTTTACAGTCATGTGTACTAGGCCAAAAGGAAACTAGCACTGGTGTTTATTAATTTGCTGTAATTTCTAGTGGTTATACAGCATCTGTGTAGCTGGTAAGCTATCCCTTCAGCATAGAATCATAGAAACATCAAGACTGGAAGAGACCTTTTAAGATCACAAAGTACAACCATTAACTTGATACTCTGCTGTAACCTCAACTATATCTTCTAGCACCAGGTACAGACACCTCTTAAACACTTCCAAGGATGGTGACTCCACCACCTCCCTGGACAACTTATTCCAGTGCCTAACCACCATAACAGTGATAAAGTTTTTTCCAATATCTACTCTGAATCTCCTCTGCCTCAGCTTATGGACATTCTCTCTAGTCCTCTCACTGCAGGAATGGCAGAAGAGACCATACTCCAACTCTCTACAATCCCCTTTCAGGTAGTTGTAGAAAGCAATGCGGTCACCCCTGAGCTGCCTCTTCTCAAGGCTAAACAAACTTAATTCCCTCAGCCATTCCTCATACGATGTGTGTCCCAGATGTTTTATGATCCTCATTGCCCTTCACTAGACTTGCTCCAGTGCCTCAATGTCCTTTTTTAAGTGAGGGGCCCAAAACTGAGCACAATACTTGAGGTGTGGCCTCACCAACAGGGGGTATGAGGGCATGATCACTCCCCTAGTCCTGCTGGCTACACTATTCTTGATACAGGCCAAGATGCCATTGGTCTTCTGGGCCACCTCTGCACACTGTAAGCTCATATTGAGCCCAATGTCCACCAGCATTCCCAAGTCCCTTT